AGAGCTTGCACAATTGGTGGCTGACTAAATACTTTTTTTTCCCCCACTGTATATTCGGAGCTTGTGTCCCCATTCCTTCACATAATGGTATGATCCTAGTCTGTCCTCCCATGTGATTAGCCACATGTGTATTTTTTTATTTTTTTGCGAAAAAATGCATAAAAATAAACCTTTTTTTATAACACTAAATTTAAAAAATGACAACACACCAACCATTCACAATTGCTAAATTGTCCTAAAATAGAAGGCTCCGGTTGAAGATTTGGCTCTCCCCAATACTTTTTTTTCCCCCACTGTATATTCGGAGCTTGTGTCCCCATTCCTTCACATAATGGTATGATCCTAGTCTGTCCTCCCATGTGATTAGCCACATGTGTATTTTTTATTTTTTTGCGAAAAAATTCATAAAAATAAACCTTTTTTTATAACACTAAATTTAAAAAATGACAACACACCAACCATTCACAATTGCTAAATTGTCCTAAAATAGAAGGCTCCGGTTGAAGATTTGGCTCTCCCCGACGGGAGTCGGCTCTTCTCGTTTGCTACAAAGAATCGGCTGGCTCGTTCGCGAACGACACATCACTACTGTGTGTTGTGACTGTGCAGATGAGATGTCGGAAAGCCGTCAGACCCATGTGACCCTGCATGACATTGACCCTCAGGCTCTGGAGCAGCTGGTGCAGTACGCCTACACTGCCGAAATTGTAGTTGGAGAGGGAAATGTGCAGGTATGTCACCTTTAGTGTCTTTTGAAGTGCATTATGTATATATCACACTCACAAAAACCCTGTTTGCTTTGTGAGGTACTACCAAGATGGGATGTTCAGACGGTTTGTGCAAACAATTTGCATCTTTGCAAATGAAGGTCTTCTGATAATTGTCCTGTTTCGAAAGAGCATATGCATACACTACCAGTCAAAAGTTTTTGAACAGTATGGTTTTTAATGCTTTTTAAAGAAGTCTCTTCTGCTTACCAAGCCTGCATTTATTTGGTCCAAAGTACAGTCAAATTTTGAAATATTTTTACTATTTAAAATAACTGTTTTCTATTTGAATATCTTTTAAAATTAAATTTATGCCTGTGATTTCAAAGCGGAATTTTTAGCATCATTACTCGTCACATGATCCTTCAGTTATCACAC